ACACAGCATTTTGAAAAAGGTATTTTTTCAAATTATTAATAAATTAGTTATCATTTGAGTTATCTTCTCCAGGTCAATTAGACTTACCATAGGAGAAAGAGAAAAGAGAAAAGCTACTACAATGCTGCTAAATAAACAATCCATTTACAGAATTTGTGTAAAAAAAATCTACCTAATCTTTAACAATAGTCATTCATACATTGTGCTAGTATTTGGAAAACATCTATTTATTTCTCAATTATTTATAATTCCAATTCCATTTTCAATTTATGGCATAATTTTTGTGGAATACGCACAGATAGCCTGTAGTTATGGGGTTTATGGAAGACATGGGATTTTAGCAGTTCATTTTAAAAAGATCATGAAGGGAGCCTGCACTCTACTATGTTTTTTACACTGTGGGATTTAAGCTCAAGTACCATGTTACAAGATGCTGAGAGGGTTAGGGTCAGTTCAGTTCATCATTCTGTCTGAGAGCTGCAGCAGGATCATTTTGCCATTCCTTCTCAAGCTCTAAAAATAAAATGGTACATTGTTGAGTTAACTGTGGTGTATTACTATATTGGTAGCCTTTATTTCTTGAACACTGGTCTATAGCTTGCAAGGACAGCAACCATAGGAGACAGCGGGTGGACCCTGAATGACCACATCCACATCATTTGAAATATCATTTAAGCAATAAAAAAATTAGACCAGAAAGTCTGGTGTAGTATAGAGCCAGTAAGATCCTTGATTGAACTCTGTCCCATTTGTTGTAGTCCCAAATGCAAAAGAAAGGCACTCTACTTACTGATGACATTTTATTTATTATAGAATTTTTTACTGTGGTAAAATAAACATAACAATTACCATCTTAAACTGTTTTTAAGTGTACAGTTCAGTGGTACTAATACATTCATATTGCTGTGAAACTATCACTACTTTCTATCCCCATAATTCTTTTCATCTTGTTTTTTAATTTTTAAAGATGTTTTTAAGAGTAATCCTTCCACCCAACGTGGGACTTGATCTTATAAGCTGAAGAGTTGCATGCTCTACTGACTGAGCCAGCCAGAAGCCCCTGTTTTCTAATTTTTTTTTAATATTTTATTTATTTCAGAGAGAGAGACAGCATGAACAAGGGAGGGTCAGAGAGAGAGGGAGACACAGAATCTGAAACAGGCTCCGGGCTCTGAGCTAGCTGTCAGCACAGAGGCTGACACGGGGCTCAAACTCACGAACCGTGAGATCATGACCTGAGCCAAAGTTGGATGCTCAACTGACTGAGCCATCCAGGTGCCCCCAGGCTCCCCTGTTTTCACTTTGTGTTAAATAGACTGCTCATTCAACATGGACAAATCCATCCTTTCTTCATTGGAAAGTATTTATTGAAAGACTTCTTTGTGTCAGGAATGAGCTAGATCCTGGGGGTCCAATGATAGCAAAAAAAACCAAAAACCAAAAAACAAACAAACAAACAAAACCCACCAAAAACCTTGGAAATCTAGGTGACAGAACATTTTCTTTGATTTAGGGGGAAAAAAAAAAAAAACCATGAATTAAATATATTGATCAATGTCTAGCCCTAAGAAAAAGGTGAAGATGATTAGAGAATTCACAAAGTGCTCTTTCTTATCTTCATTTTAACTCCCGTTCTGCTATAAAGACTCAAATATTTTCTTTTTTCTTTAAGTTTATTCATTTATTTTTGAGGGTAAGGGGAACCCAAGCAGGCTCTGTGCTGTTAGAGCACAGCCCAGCATGGGGCTCAATCTCAAGATAATGAGAGCATGACAAGACCTGAAACCAAGAGGCAGTTGCTTAACTGAGCCACCCAACTACCCCTCAAATATTTTCTTATGCAGATGATTTGCTTTTTGAATATTCCATAAAGGAGTTCCAAGAAGTAAGGCTTACATTTAAATGATGGCGTTTAAACATTTTCTAAATAATTTAAGTACTGTATCAATTGGGCAATAGCCAAGAGCTGGTTTAAAATTCCTTCTGTAGTAATAGGAATTTGGGGGTAAAGAAAAGGGGCAAGGAAGGAGTAACATGGGTATAAGAATTCCCAATCAATTCATCCATAGTTTAGTGATCAAAAATGTCATGTCTTGTTCCATTTCCAGCTTTTATTACTATCTTATTTGTTCACTTAAAGATTTTCGGATGTCCAAACCAAAGGAAAATTTGGAATAGGATCTAACCATGGGTAAGTGAACCTTGTCCTTTAGTTCCAAATAGTTGTTTTCTATAAGGATACACAGTGGAAAAACAGAGTATCAGGGAACACAGTGATCTACATAGTGTGCATGGTCTTATTGGCAGCAGATACCTTTTTCAGAGGTACTGAAAGTCTCCTTTCAGCTACCTTTGTCCATGTTGGCTCATGTATCTTGGTGGTGATGTGAGATTGTTGATGCTAGTGGCCACCGAATGAAGGCTTGCTTATTCACCCAATTCCCCACCAAAAGGAAGAAATGGTCAGAGAAAGCCAAAGGGTAACTAAGAACCTACAATTTTTCCTGGATTTTTTATAAGATTGAGAGGCAGGGCCACTTGGGTCTTTCATGAGAGGGATTCTTCCCTGCATTAGCACTGTGACAGTTCCCAGCCTTCGAGGTCAACTTGTAGGAAGATGGAGGAGGGTGGCTGTGAGTCCCTGTGGCTCCAGGAGCTATCTTGTTTTTCAAGTCTTTGTCAGTTGTGATTTCTTCCATGAAGTCTTCCTTAATTTTTTACCTTGGAGTAATTTCTCTCTTCTCTGCAACCATGTCCTTCCCTCTGCCACTATGTATTAGTTATATCATATTACATGTCTGGGTTTCATAACTAAGCCTTGTGGAGGCAGGATCCCAACCAGATTCACCTGTGTATATCCAACTGCATGTACTGTGCTCAGCACAAACTAGGTATTCAAAAAAAGGTTAATGAACAAGTGGGTCAATTTGTCTGAAGGCCTGAGGTCCCTCCAGTAAGTAGATGGCAGGTCATTAACTGCAGAGCAGGTAGGATTTCCTGTGTTCTTGACAGGGAGGGGAGGGGATGGAATCCATTAGCCATGGCATTTCAAGCACATACATATGGAGTACACGGATGTTGAGGTACAGCTTTTGCACCATTACTCATGCCATTATTTGTTCCATATTTCATTAAGATGGCTACCATGCCAAAATGCTGTCTTGATGTAAATAGTATACTTTTTCTATAAAGGGCATTCTTTTATGTTATTTTACTGAAAAACCAAAGAAAGCAGGTCCACTACTAGCATCCTCACTTTGATGTGAGGATGCTGAAGGGAAGCAGGTGAATGACTTAGCATTCTCATTCCATTTTCCTTGAGAAAACAGTCAGAAATGGAAACCTCACTTATATTACTAGCACTCATCATTTTGTATGAAATCAACATTTCAAGAAACACTGAGGTTTCATGTTAAGTCCAAATTGTTATCATTAGTCAAGTGACATGAAAGGGATTATTCTGTTTTATAGACTCATTATATTAGGATATTAAAGAAAGCCAGGATGCCTCACCTAGCTTGAGTATGGTGATATATTTGATAGTGTTCTCTGAAGTCTTTCTCATTAAATTTGATTTTGCTTGTGTGGTAATATTGTAGTCTTCAACAGGAATGTAGGTAAATGAAGTTAATAATACATTAAAATGAATCATACTGGAAATCAGGAAGGAGGGGGAATAGTGTTTGAGTTTCTGTAGGGAGTAAAGTTTAGTTAATTAAAAAAATAACTTGACTATCTCTATGAAAAATTTAGCTTTAAAATACAAATCAATTGTAATTTAAACTTCTGTATTTGGGCTATCTGTCACAAAGGAACACAGGTGTTAAACATAATTAAAGTATATAATAATATTTTCACTATATTATACATAAGGACCATCAGGCATAATTGAGGAAAAAAATGCCAAATTCACCAGGTTCTCTGGAGAAATGCTAGTGGCTCAAATGACAACCCAGTCTTGCCTAGACCACTAAAGTATACTTTCCAAACGGGTGAGAGTACTTTTACTGTTTACAAGTCATGCAAAGAATTAAATACAACATATTTTAAAAATTGTAAGCCCTTTTTTAGTCACTAAAAATGTGTCTACCTATATTAAAACCCATAAAAACCTGAGTTTATGCTGGGCACTTTTGCTTAGAGCTAAAAAGAGAAAAACACTAGGCACGTACTTAGAATGTGAACCATTTTTGTATGAAATCAAGTATTTTGTCATCAGTCTATTATCCATACCTTTTGTAACTGGAATCTTTATATTTTTTAACATCTTTAACAGGAATTAGGGTTGTAGTAGTCTCAAATATAACAAAGATGGCTTTAAACTGTCCTATATAATCTTCTCCCACACACTTTTCATGTGTATCTTGTATTCTGAGGTGTCATCTTCAGAGAGACTAAATTAGAGTGAGACCAGATGACAGAACAAAATAGGAAGAAAATATTCATGGCAGCTGTTGAAAACTAGTTTTGTAAGACAAGGCCTAGAAATACTTATCTCTGGCATGTTTAGTATGGGCTGCATAGTTGATTTTCATTCAGCTACTAGAGAAAGGTGTTCTACAATGACAGACAGCCTTCTCAAAATTACAATTAGCTGGCTTCCTCTGCAGGGAACAGCAGTTGCTTAAGTAAGGCTGATGTAAGAGCTCTTTTCCGGCTTCCTCAGAAATGATTTCCCTATCTTGGGTTTCTAAAAGAAGGAGTTGGGATCTGCTAAAAGGAACACTTAGTAAATGCTGATCTCTAAGGAAAAATCATCAATTTATTTAATTGTCAATAATTTTTTTCAAAACATGCTTTTCCTTTAAGATTGGTTAGCTTTTTATTCTGCCTAAATTTTTAAAATAAGGTGAAATAAAAGATTCAAAAATGGTTTCATAATACATGGAAGATGAAATCTCATACGTATTGGATATAGTTTGATTCTTACATATGCATGATTAATCAAAATTGTGTCCTTATACGACGACTGATATCTTCCAAATTGTACTCAGAGACACTACTACGTACCATTTATTTTATTATCACTGATATGTTTAAGATTAGCTTAATTAACAGTATGACATTTTCATGCATTGTTAAATTTCACACTAGTTTTACTATTCACAATGTTTGATTAAGTTCAATCAACAAATATTCAAGCATATGTGAAAAAAGAATGAAATGGTATTACCTTTTCATATAATCAGCTAACTGCTTTTTAAGAGTAAAAAGTTAATATTGGGACTTAAAAACCTAAATATCCAATGTTATTATCAATTCAACCAAATATACTTCACTTAGGCCACAGGACTGCCCATTAGCCTTTCTTGTCGGAGAGCAATTAATCTCTTGAACCACTTTTCCTCAGCATCAGCTTTCTCAATAAATAACTGAAAAAAGAGAAAGGAAAAATGTTATTGTTTGCCAATAGCTTGGATTTGCCCTTACATAACATGAATTATAGAAAACATCTTTATAGAATACATCTTTTGGTGCAAGATTTGGATACTTCTCAATTTAACAACTGACTTTTCAATTGAAGATATTCTATTTGGAATTAATAATGCTCAGAAAGTCTTGGAGTAAAAGCACTAGTATCACCATTATTTGTTAATAATTTTACATCTATCTTGTGAAGTATCTCCTCTCCTCTTTATCAGAGACACAGTGGAATGATGTCACTTTCAGAGTACACAGCAAAATATGTGAGTCAGTGACATGTTCAGTCAGTGAACCAAGTGGAGCTGAACCAGAATTAGATGTTTTAGTGCCAGATTAAAAAGAAAACAAAACTCTTCTTTTTTTGGCTTACTTTTGTTAAGCACAGAAAGAACACTTCCAAAAGCCAGACAGCATGATTTGGGCCACACCAGATTCAACGTAACTGCTCTAAGGGATGGGGGTCAGCTGTTTATTTCTAACAAAGAGGAACATATGAATCCTTTTCCTCCAATGGTCTTGTCATCAGCATAAAGGGACAGCAGTTTGAATTAATTTCAGTCGACTAGACTTCAACTGACATTCTTAAGACTTAAGGCTCTTACATTTGGATGGGCCAGAGAATTGTCATCTTGGTACTTGATGGCAGTGGGGATACTGCTAGGGTCTATTTCTTTTTCAGCACTGGGTGGATCAGCAACTACTGATGCTGGTCCTGATGCTGCAGCTGTGTGCTTCACGTCACCAGGCTCCACCGACTGAAACATAAAATATGTTATTAATTAGATCACATATATACAATTAAAAGTTTGCTTTAATAATATTTTTGATTTTGAAGAGCAATAGTTCATTTAGCCTCCTTTGAGACAATATCGATCATAAAAAGACCCTAGGTTATTGAATAAGAAACAATTATTCGTAAAACAAGCAGATACAAAAACATTGAGACATGTTTTATCTTTTTTTACGATCAGCATATTTTTCTTAAGAAATTGGTACTTAGGAGTCCATACTATAGAAAAATATATTTCATAAATCTAAATTGTATTAGTTAAAACATGCTTGTGACAAATCTCCAGCATTCAGTTGGGCCTCTTTAGATATAAAAAGGAAATTCAAAGGTTATTTTGTTTTTGCTTTTTAAATAACAGCCTCAGTGAGATATAATTCACATATCGCTATTCATATAGCTTTTAGCATAGCATATCCATAGAGTTTTGCAACCACCACCACAAGCAACTTCAGAATATTTTCATCATCCTCCCAAAAAAAGCCCATACCCAGGGTGCCTGGATGCCTCAGTCGGTTAAGCATCCGACTTCGGCTCAGGTCATGATTTCATGGTTCGTAGGTTCGAGCTCCGCATCAGGCTCTGTACTGACAGCTAGCCCAGAGCCTGGAGCCTGCTTCAGATTCTGTGTCTCCCTCTCTCTTTGACCCTCTCCTGCTCACACTCTCTTTCTCTCTCTCAGAAATAAATAAAACATTAAAAAAATTAAAAAAAAAAAAGCCCATACCCATTAGCAGTCACTGCTCCCCACTTCTCCCAGCCTTCCCATCCCTATGCAAACATTCATCTACTTCCTATCGCTTCGGATTTGCCTATTCTGGAGACTTCATATAAAAGAAATCATACAATATGTGGGTTTTGTTTTCTGTTTCAGCTTCTCTCATTTATTATTACTTTTAAAATATTTTTTGAGAGGGAGAGAGAGTGAGCAAGCACAAGTTGGGGAGGGGCAGAGAGCAAGAGGGAGACAGAATCTGAAGCATGCTCCAAGCTCTGAGTGCAGAGCCCAATTCAGGGCTCAAACTCACAAACCATGAGATTACGACCCAAGCCAAAGTTGGATGCTTAACCGACTGAGCCACCCAGACACCCTGGCTTCTTTCACTTAGCACATTTTCAAGGTTCATCCATGAAAGGCTGAAGCATGTGTCAGTAAGCCATTTCTTTTTATTGCTGAATGGTATTCCATTACAGACTATTAGGAGCCAGGCATTGTGCTCAGTGGTGGGCACATGAGGACTCATAAATCATCGCTGCTGCCCGGAAGGAGCCAGCAGTGTTGAGCTTTCTCAGGATAATTCCAATACACCCCTCCCTGAGAAAGAAGACCAGGGAAGTGGCTGATTCACAGCAGGTCTGCAGGGATAACATGAAATGGACTAGATGAGAAGCTGGAATTGAAGTTAAAGTACTGGTTCTTATGCCCAGTTTTTGAACTTCCATTTTCTTGATTTTAGCTAGTACTGAACATCCACTTTTCTAAATGAAGGGTAAAATAGATGTCACTAGGAAAACATCTAGAAAATGAAATCTACATGAATTAGCTAATCCTTTCTTAGAATGATTTATCTTAGAACTGGTTATCCATCTATTTAGTATTTCATGAGCGCTAATAATTGTTAAGCACTGGATACCAAGGGAGAGTAAAATAGATATGTTCCCGGCCCCAACTAGACATTACATTTTGCTAATGGGACTGACAGATTACTAACAAATAAAAATAAAAATAAATACATAATCACAAACTGTAACCAGGGACATAGAGATACTTGGAGAAATAACTGTTAAATATGATTTGGAAGTAGTCTTCTAGTATTGTGAGGCCAATACGTTTCCCCCCAGGTGTCAAACAGTTCTATGTCTCCAACACACAGGCCTGGGAGCCCTGGTGGTATTAAACTCACCCTTTATAAAACCGAGGACATGTAACAGTAAAGCCCAACAGTCTGTACAGGGCAAAGTGGGAAGTATGCTAAGCAATGAGGTCCAGACATCATTTTTTTTGTAGTCTATGCTGCCTTGCAGAGAATAGAAGAGCACGTCATTCTGCATATCTTAGCCATGCTCTGGTTTGGCCAGGAGCTTGGCAGTGTTGAACTGCCTTGAAAATTGCGAAGTGCTAATACTTTAGTTGTCAAAGATGTGGATTGCACACATTCAGGTGGCAGAGATAATATTCTATTTATAAAAGTGAAGTAGTCTCTCATTCTGTTTTACCTATAGAACATTAAGGGTTTCTTTGAGAAGTGCTTATATACATTTGAGGTAAAGTTCTCAGAGGTTAGGATGAGAGCATGGAAGTTATTATTTAATAATGGGTAATTAAAACTATATGACAAGAACATTAATTGCTTCTTTATTTGAGGAAAACGTTGGAGAAAATGTTACTTAAAAAAAAATCCACAACATGGCTACTATCAAATATCAGGCTTTGAGTAGCACTGCCACCTGGTGGTTCAGTTTGGAAAACTTGTTTTAGTTCTTTTTTTTTTTTTTTTAATTTTTTTTATTTATTTCTAGGAGAGAGAGAGAGACAGCATGAGCAGGGGAGGGTCAGAGAGAGAGGGAGTCACAGACTGAAACAGGCTCCAGGCTCTGAGCTGGCAGTCAGCACAGAGCCCGACGCGGGGCTCGAACCCACGAACCGTGAGACCATGACCTAAGCGAAAGTCGGACGCTTAACCGACTAAGCCACTAAGGGGCCCCTGGAAAACTTGTTTTAAAATGTACCTCAAGTAAAAGAATAAATGACCTGGCTGTTTAGGGTTATTTACCCTCTTTCTGAACATAGGTGGATATCCGTTAGCTCCAAAAAATTTAGGGTTGAATAACTGGCAATAGGTTTATTTGGGACAGGAGTTTGAAAACAAACTGCATCTTGGTTCCAGAAATTGATTATATAGTGGGAGCTATCAGATTATCTACTCGCACAAGAGATATAGAATTGCAGAGAGTTAAACTAATTAAATCGATATGTGTAGACGGAGACACAATGTCTAGCATGTTGTTGGTAATAGCCACTTTTATAGTAACAGCTCTCTAGCTTACTTAGAATTAACACAGCTAAGAGACTCTATCAACTGAGGGGGTTTTTAGTATAGAGAAGCCTTTTTTCAGAGATACAAACTTTATACCAACATGTATAGTGCTGTCCAGGAGAGAAAGATGTTGAAACTTGGGTCACGAGTAATTTAGTTCAGGAGAGTTAGTCTTTGCTATGCATCAGGGACAGCCCATATTACCCCATGATTTGGATGAAACGGTCATCATGATAATTTACCTCCCTTTGCTAAGTAATCTTCTAATAAATAATTCAGATTCTTGGGCATCCTGAATCCCTACCTTATATTGCAGACACAGACATATTAGAAACTGGAAAGGGATATCATTTTCTAAACTACTAAATCAGCCCTCTGTTTTATGTTACAGTTGAGTGTAAATTTATTCATTGTTGGCCCATCAATGCTTTTCTGTTCATTTTGAAATGCAATGACTAATAAAAGTCCAATGTTGGTTACAGTCTAATACTATAGACTGTACATTCACCAAGGTAAATGCCATTTTCTTTGTTTTTTTTAGCATATTCCCCAGTAAGTGAAAGCATGCTTTCTTTATACTTCAAGAGAGAATGTGAAATCATAATTATGAGAGACATGGGATTAGTAAAAACAAACACAGGCTCTGGAGTTGATTACTGTTTGGATGCTCTTCCTTGTCGCTTATAAGCACTTTGACTATGGGTTATAAAGTCTGCTAAGCCTCAGCTTCCTTAGCTTTAAATAAAGGTTACTGGGATATTAGATAAATTACATATGTTAAATGTCTAGCGTTAATGGTAGCCATTATTATTTTAAATTATTTAAATATAAAAAACAAAGTGAGGCTACAACATTGTTTTCCATCATTTGTTTATTAGTGCTTTAATGTTTCCAAATGCTGTGCTGAAACAAACTGGCCCAAAGCTGATGTCTGTACACTGAACCAGTAAGTTTAGTAAACTGTAAAGCTGTGAAGTAATTTTTTAACTAGTTGCTTGGTAGCACAATTGGTCACCAAGCCTCATATGAGAATTTTATGGTCTACAGACCATAAAAAATTACGTAAAACAATCTGTGACCTAACCAAAATGAGAATCCCTGCATCTCCAATTCCTTTTAAGGAAATCACAGACAAACGCACCCCCCAGCATTTAGTAAGGCAAAGAGGTGGAAAAGGAGCAGGGAGAGGAAGAGGAGTAACAGCTTTCATTTCCTGAGGGCTTCCTATGTGCCAGGCCCTTGGCTGTTTTATGTAAAGTATCATGCTCATCCATATAAAAACTTCTGCTAGTTGTATTATCTTCCTTTTAAGATTAAGATAACTCAGTCAGTTAAGCATCCAGCTCTTGATCCTGGCTTGGGTCCATGATCTCATGGTTTGTGGGATTGAGCCCCACATGGGCTCTGCAACTGATAGCATGGAGCCTGGTTGGGATTCTCTTTCTCCCTCACTCTCTGCCCCTCCCCCACTTGTTCTCTAGCTCTCAAAATAAATTTTAAAAAGTTTAAAAAAAAAAGATATGAAAGTCATGAGTTATCATGTGGTTTAAGGACACAGAGCCAGTAAATGGCAGAATTAGACCTGACCCTACACCTGTCTGACCCTGTATCTCATGCTTTTGACCACTGCTTCCCAGTTGTCACACCTAAGATTTATTATAATTTGGTTTTAATTTTAGAAGAAAGAAAGAAAATATTTTAAATGAATATATTTTTAAGTGGTACAACTCACATATTTCTAGGCTGCTTTCGCTTCTCTGTCATACTTACCTAATCTAGAACTATTCAGTTTGAGGCTTTTCAGAATTGATTTTATTTCTTTGTGTGAATTACTGTTAAGGGCCACTTCCTTGAAAAAACAGTTGGGGGGCACATGGGTGGCTCAATTGGTTAAGTGTCCAACTTCAGCTCAGGTTATGATTTCACAGCTTGTGGGTTTCAGCCCCGCATTGGGCTCTGTGCTGACAGCTCAGAGCCTGAAGCCTGCTTTGGATTCTCTTCAGATTCCTCTCTCTCTGTCCCTCCCCTGCTCATACTCTATCTCTCGCTCAAAAACAGATAAACATTAAAAAATTAAAAAAAAAAAGACAATTGGACTAGCAGGTAGATTTCTTCCATACAAATTCATGAATATTCCTTATGAAACTCAGAGGCCCCTATTTCATCTGAATCCTCTCTAACACTGACACTTGAATTAGAACTGCAAGGAAAGCTGTATGAAAGGTGAGAGAAAATTCTAACTCAGCACTGAAAATTAAAGCAACAGAAACTAATTATTAAAATAATTAATAGTGGTCCTTTTGATCAGAGATGTAGGTGAAATTCCCTTATATTGGTCCCATGGAAAGCCATTTACCTATATAGGTTTTGTTGGAGATTAAGGAAGAAGAGCTCTTCTCTTGGATTTAGTCCATTATCTTAAGATTAATAACCTTAAGATGTTAAGATCTTTTTTAAAACTTTTCTAGGGGATACAGTGAGGTGAAAGCATTACAGATTCTGGAATTGAAAGATATAGATATTATTACATTTATAGTTTTCAAAAGACTTTAAAGGTAAAACCAGATGTCTAAAGTTTTTCTGTATTTCTCAGCAAGAGGTCTGCCTTACTGGTGAGCATGGGAACTTGGGGAAAATCAAGGGCATATGAAGAAATGTAAATGGGGGGAGGTTTATACTTAAAAAAGATTGAGCAACTACAATAGAAGTTTTTAAGCACTATGCTTAGTTTATAGAATGTACTTTAATATCAAAGAATTTAGACGTTACAATATGCTATTTAAAAATAAGCACTTATTGTATCAAGAACCATGCTAAGTATTTGATAATCATTACATTTACTCCTCAACAACTCCAACAAGTAGGTATTATTAGTTCTGTTTTATGAATTTGGAAACTGAAGCCCAAAGAGGTTGAGAAGCCAGCTGAAGATCATGGCAGGAAGTGTGGGAGTTAAGATTCAAACTCAGATCTCCTAGAGTTCAAAGCCCACCTTGTTTATACTATAGCAGGTACACTTCTTTTTTTTTTTTTAATCTTTATTTTTGAGAGGCAGAGAAACAGCGCGCGAGCAAGGGAGGAACAGAGGGAGAGGGAGACATAGAATCTGAAGCAGTCTCCAGGCTCTGAGCTGTCAGCACAGAGCCCAATGCAGGGCTCAAACTCATGAGCTGCAAGTTCAAGACCTGGGCTGAAGTCTGATGGGCAACCGACTGAGCCACCCAGGCGTCCCTATCAGGTATACTTCTGATCAATTTCCTTGCTCATTGCTGGTTTCACTAGTTATTGGAAGAGCTACTAGTATCTTGGAGGAAAAAAACAGAAGTAAAAATAAGATTATTATGTTAATTAGTGCCAAAGAGAAAAAGTTGTTTAGAGGAAAACCTGGTGTATTAACTAGAGAGGAATGAGTATTTGCACAGAAAGAAAGTGCTAGGTTATCTTAAGTGAGTCCAGTCAGAGCTGGGAAGTCAGGGTGAACTTCAAAAAGCAAATACTAGGAAAGTAAATTTAAAAATAAATTACAATACTATAAGGACATATGAATGACCTTTTGTACTTATGATATTGAAGAGTAAGATATTAAATAAAATGAGCAACTATATTTATGGATGTCCACTGTAGAGTTCTACCACTTTTTACAAGTAATAGTGGCAAACTACAAAAAGTTCAAGTGAAATTCAGGAAACAACAAGGCAGGGACCACAGGTTAACCAGGGTTACTGCTATGCACCAGGCGCCAGCGCTCAAGTCACTTCTCCAGGACGAATTATTTTAAAAAGTATATGGTAATTGAAAAGATGTCCATGTCACTAGCAACAGAGGAAATGCTAATAGAAAAACAAAAGGTCAACTTTCACCTGACCACACATCAGGTCAGTAAATGTAAAAATATCTGATAAGGATTTGGTGTTAACCAGGGTGTGAAAGACAGACATCTTGCACTTGCGGGCAGAATCTGAACTGGTACAATGTTTTTGGAGGATGACTCTGGGAACATATGTGAAGATGAACAATATTAGCCATAAGCAAATAACTCCATCTTGAAAAATTTATCTTAAGAGGATAATAATGGATATTTACAAATATGCATGTAATAACTTAAAGCTTACAGCTACTTAAATATCTAATATCAGAGAGAAAATAAATGAATTATGGTAAATTCATCACAGGGTACTGTATAGTCACTAATATTTTTACAGATGTACAATATTTTTGAATAAGGGATAATACCACATCTTTATTACATGTATGTTAAAGAATACATGTATTTCACAGTAGAATGCCTTTTCTGGCTGAAGGAACAGATTCCTAAAGGCAGTCTTGATAATAATTTAAAGAATACATGCAATATTCAACAGAAATAAAATGCCAATCAAAACTCTTTTTACTAGAGTTGAATAAGTAATACCCATCTGGGCAAAGAGTGTAGATACATGTTACTATTTGGGTAATAATCTGATTGTTACAGCTCTCTTCTAAGTTTTCTCTAGCAATGTCAATTCAAAAGTAGATGCAGACATTTGAAAAGAAAACTATAGTTCATGAAATGCATATTACTGCTTTAGAACTGTTGACATTTTATTTTGTCTTCTCAGTGAATTTTAAAATAAAAATGGCATCAGATATATTTTTACAAGTGAAACTTGAACTGATTCTCACTGATTCATTCTCTCTCTCTCAATAACATGCTGACACTCGCTCACCCTACTTCATCTCTCTGTTAGAAGAAGCACTTACATTTAAGTAAAATCCATTAATAAAGCACCTCCTCAGTGGGAATCTAAAGGCTTATTCATAACGTCTGGATGAAAACTTACCTTTTTGACTTCTTTACTTGATCTGAACGTCTGCTGAACAAAAGAATCACTTTCAATGGCTTCAATTTCTTTTACTCTTTTTACTTGTTCTACCAGGGTGGCTTGGTCTAAAAAAAAAAAAAACGGGGGTATAATGTCAATGTATTTTGGTGTGTAAGCTTGTTAATAACACTATTCTAAGCAAGGTTCTTTCTTTCTGTGAAGTAATTTTATGACTTCTAGAATTTAACTGGATGAAAAGATGTTATAGTTAAGCTATAACAAAAAACGATTTCCCCCCTGAGATACACAAATATAACATTCTTACACACTAAGGCTCTCACCTAAAACCTAAAACATTGCTGAGAAGGCACTGCTATAATGATCCAAGCTAATCTGGGCTAATCTTGTGGGAGGGCTTTAAAAATTAAAAAATTATTATGGAAATACATATAAAAGGAATAAAAGCACAATGAATCCATTGGCACCCATCACCCAGCTTCTATAGACATGAGCTTTGTTACTTCTTACTTAATTTATTGATCCCCAATTCATCTTTTTAGGTAGCCCTGGAGTACTCAAAAGTTAACTCCCAGGCATTGTGCCATGTTACCCCTAAATATTTAGTAGACATTTCAGGTAAGGGCTGTAAAAAAAAACAAACAACAGTAATGTAACTACAATACCATTTTCACATCCAACAATATTACCAATAATGCCTTAATATCACCTTATGCAGTTCATATTTAATTTTCACTGTCCAAAAAAAAAAAAAAAAAAAAAAGAAAAAGAAAAAAAGGTCTTTGTACAGGTAGTTTGCTTGAAACAGGATCCATCCAAGGTCCATGCTTTAGACTTGGTTGTTAAGTTACTTAAATCTCTTTTAATCATTGATAGTCTACAATCCCTCCTTTTCATTGCTATTTATTGAAGAAAATGGATCATTTTATACTTAATTTTTTTTTACATTCTAGATCTGGCTGATTTTATTCTCATGATTCCATTAACATGTTCCTCTATCCCTCATAGTCTGTGTAAGCGAGTAGTTAGATCTAGACACTGGATAAGATTCAAGTTCAATTTCCTTTAGTCAAGGATACATCATAGGTGATGCTTTGTAACTCCTATTACACCATATCAGGATGTGCTTCTTCCAGTTTTAAAGATGTTAAGATTGGGGCACCCAGGGGGCTCAGTTGGTTAAGTGTCCCACTTCAGCTCAGGTCATGATCTCATGGTTCATGGATTCAAGCCCTGTGTTGGGCTTTGTGCTGACAGTTAGCTCAGAGCCTGGAGTCTGTCTTCAGATTCTGTGTCTCCCTCTCTCTCTGACCCTCCCCTGCTCATGCTGTCTCTATCTCTCTCTCAAAATAAATAAAACATTAAAAAAAAAAAAGATGTTAAGATTGATCAGTGGGTCCAAGTTGATGTCAGCTTGACCCTATTATAAAGTTCTTTAGCAACTTTTCACTTAATGTTTTTAGCAGACATTAATGTTGTTGATTAGACCCATTATTTCATGAGATATTGTAAAATGGTGATTTTCTAATTCTATTATTCTTGTTGCATTTTTTAGCACTGATTCTTCCGTAAAGAAGAACTTCCCTCACTGACTGTGAAGTATAGTCTGTACAGGAAAGGCAGAGTAAATGTTTAATTTTTTCCCTTTACTTGTCAATCTTGATCCAAAGATGAACATTATGAGTTCCTGAATATTATATACTTAACATATTTTACTCCATGTAATCATCTTAATATATTGTTGCTCAGATTATTCTACCTTTGGGTGGTGGGAACCTCTTGAAGTTGGTCCTTCATCATTTTGGTTGAAGTTGAACTACCCCATCAGTTAAGGGGTAGCTAAGATGTTCCAGGCTCATTTTGTACAGTTCCTGTCCAAGACCTGAAATTAGCCATTTCTCCAAAGGGCTCAGACTCCTGGTGGGGAATGATATTTAAAGACAGTAACTGGGACACCAGGATCTTTATTGCTATTAGACTGTCATTGCTTCTCAGCTTTTTCAGTGGGTGGAATAGGAAATGCATATTTTAAGAGAAAAATTAATATGAGTTCATGCTGATGCTATCAATCAAATGAAAGATTAGAGAACTTTATTGGGGGGTCTGGATAGCTTTCATAAGTTATTCACAAAAATTTAAATAATATGCTTAATATTTTATACATTTATAAAATTTGAAATAATAAATGTAAGAGGAATTAATTCTATCATAATTTTAAGATTTGTAGAATATCTCTGTTATACATAATCTTTAAAAATGAAATAAATCATTTGTTACTTAACTTCCATTTAGGTTATGTCTTTTAGGATAAATTCTGCTTGGGAATTTTTCACATCTTTTTTAAAAAATAATTTATCTATTTTTTAAAATTTACATTCAAGTTAGTTAACATATAGTGCAATGATGATTTCAGGAGTAGATTCCTTAATGCCCCTTACCCATTTAGCCCACCCCCCCTCCCTAAGCCCCTCCAGTAACCCTCTGTTCACCATATTTAAGAGTTTCTTATGTTTTGTCCCCTTCCCTGTTTTTTATACTATTTTTGCTTCCCTTCCCATATGTACATCTGTTTTGTATCTTAAAGTCCTCATGTGTGTGAAGTCATATGATATTTGTCTTTCTCCGAGTAATTTCGCTTAGCATAATACCCTCTAGTTCCATCCACGTAGTTGCAAGTCGCAAGATTTCATTCTTTTTGATTGCCGAGTAATACCCCATTTTATATATACACCACATCTTTATCCATTCATTCATTTCTGGACATTTGGGCTCTTTCATACTCTGACTATTGTTGATTGTGCTGTTATAAACATTGGGGTGCATGTGTCCCTTCAAAACAGCACACCTGTATCCCTTGGATAAATACCTAATAGTGCAATTGCTGGATCATAGGGTAGTTCTATTTTTAATTTTTTGAGGAACCTCCACACTGTTTCCAGAGTGGCTGCACCAGTTTGCATTCTCACCAGCAGTGCACAAGAGATCCTCTTTCGCCACATCCTCGCCAACATCTGCTGTTGCCTGAGTTGTTAATGTTAGCCATTCTGACAGGTGTGAGGTGGTATCTCATTGTGGTTTTGATGTGTATTGCCCTGATGATAAGTGATGTTGAGCATCGTTTCATGTATCTGTTGGTCATCTGGATGTCTTCCTGGGAGATGTATCTGTTTACATCTTTAGCCCATTTCTTCACTGGATTCTTTGTTTTGAGGGTGTTGAGTTTGCTAAGTTCTTTATAATTTTGTATACTAACCCTTTATCTGATATGTGATTTACAAATATCTTCTTCCATTCTGTCAGTTACCTTTTAGTTTTGCTGTTTCCTTTGCTGTGCAGAAGCTTTTTATTTTGATGAGGTCCCAATAGTTCATTTTTGCTTTTGTTTCCCTTGCCTCTAGATGAGTAAGGAGTTGCTGTGGCCAAGGTCAAAGAGGTTATTGCCTGGTTTCTCCTCAAAGATTTTGATGGCTCCCTGTCTTACATTTAGGTCTTTCATCCGTTTTGGGTTTACTTTTGTGTATGGTGTTAGAAAGTGGTTCAGGTTCATTTTTCTGCATGTTGCTGTACAGTTTTCCTAGCACCACTTGCTGAAGAGACTGTCTTTATCCCATTGAATATTCTTTCCTGTTTTGTCAAATATTAATTGGCCATATGTTTGTGGGTCCATTTCTGGGTTCTCTATTCTGTTCCATTGATCTGACTGTCTGTTTTTGTGCCAGTACCATACTGTCTTGATGATTATAGCTTTGTAATATAGTTTGAAATCTGGGATTGTGATGCAGTCTGCTTTGGTTTTCTTTTTCAAGATTGCTTTGGCTATTTGGGGTCTTTTCTGGTTCCATACAAATTTTAGGATTGTTTGTTCTAGCTCTGTGCAGAATGCTGGTGTTGTTTTGATAGGAATTGCATTGACTATGTAGATTTCTTTGGGTAGCATTGACATTATAACAATATTTTTTCTTCCTATCCAGGAGCATGGAATATTTTTCCATTTTTTTGTGTCTTCTTCAATTTCTTTCATAAACTTTCTATAGTTTTCAGTGTATAGATTTTTCACATCTCTGGTTAGATTTATTCCTAGGTATTTTATGGTTTTTGGTGCAACTGAAAATGGAATCGATTCCTTTATTTCTCTTTCTGTTGCTTCGTTGTTGGTGTATAAGAATGCAGTCAATTTCTGTGTATTGATTTTATATTCTGCCATTTTGCTGAATTCATGGATCAGTTCTAGCAGATCTTCTGGTGGAATCTTTTGGGTTTTCCATATAGAATATCATGTCATCTGTGAAGAGTGAAAGTTTGACCCCCTCCTGGCTAATTTGGATGCCTTTATTTCTTTGTGTTGTCTGAATGCTGAGGCTAAGACTTCCAATACTGTGTTGAGTAACAGTGGAAAGAGTGAACATCCCTGTTTTCTTCCTGACCTTAGGGGGAAAGCTCTTAGTTTTTCAAAATTAGAGGACTTTTAAAGTCTTTTTTTTTATTTGTGTATCTTTTCTCTCACTTTAAAAATTGTAAGTCTTAATGATAAGATCAAAAGTATTTGGTTTTTTCTCCTAATATGAGAGTTGAGTCTGTTTCATTTCATAATAACAAGATAAATATCACCATTAACAACAAGATAAATTAACACAGTTTAAAATTTCTTTATGGTTCTTTTTGACCTTAGGAATTACTCCACGGATGAACTGTCAAAACACTATACTATAAGGTTACTTACAATAATTTTCCATGGGATTATGCTACCAACTTGATATATAGCTAGGTTTAGTTTGTTTGGATTCATTTTTGATTTTTAGGTCTTGCTTTTTGTTTTACTGTCCTTGAGATTAACATTAATATTTTTATTTGATATATTTGACACAAATGTTCCATTAATTTCAGGTGTACAACACAGTAATTCAACAACTCTATATGTTATGCTATACTCACAAGTGTAGCTACTATCACCATAAAATGCTGTTGTAATACCAATGACTATATTCCTTTTTTTTTTTTTTTAAATGTTTTATTTATTTCTAGGAGAGAGAGAGACAGCGTGAGCAGGGGAGGGTCAGAGAGAGAGGGAGTCACAGACTGAAACAGGCTCCAGGCTCTGAGCTGGCAGTCAGCACAGAGCCCAATGCGGGGCTCGAACCCACGAACCGCGAGATCATGACCTAAGCGAAAGTCGGACGCTTAACCGACTAAGCCACCCAGGCGCCCCACCAATGACTATATTCCTGAATCTATACCTTTTTGTTCTCATGATTTATTCATTCCATTACTTAATGCCTGTATCTCCCACTCCCCTTCACCCATTTTGTTCATCCCCCAAACCCCCTTCCCCATGGCAACCATCATTTAGTTTTCTGTATTTGCATATGATTCTGCTTTTTGTTAATCACTTGTTTTGTTTTTTAGATTCCACATAAGCAAAATCATATGGTATTCTCTTCTCTCTGTCTGATTTATTTCACTTAGCATAATAGGCTCTAGGTCCATCCATGTTGCAAATTGCAAGGTGTCATCTTTCTTACAGTTGTGTAATATTCCTGTGGGGGAGGGGGGTGCGCACGCACATGTGCTTGTGTGCACCCCAACCTTATCCATTCACCTATCATTAGACACTTGGGTTGCTTCCATATCTTGGCTGTTGTAAATAAGGCTGCAATAAACATAGGGGTGCAGGTATCATTTTGAATTCTTTTCATTTTCTTTGGGTAAATATCCAGTAGTGGAATTACTTGATCATGTGGTATGTCTATTTTTAATTTTTTGAGGAACCAAAAAATACTTTTCTTATCTTTAATATTTTTTAGTTGCATAAAATACATGATTCTGTTTGTGAAAACAAAATATCATTTAGGAGTCTAGGCTTCCTTTCCTATCCCATTCTTTCATTTCTTTCCCCAGTCCATAGGTAACCATTTTTTATTAGATTTTGGTTTTTTTATCCTTCCTTTGTTTCTTCCTGAAAATGTTAAGTATACATATCCTCTTCTTCCTTTTTTTTTTTTTTAATTTTTTTAAATGTTTTTTATTTATTTCTAGGAGGGAGAGAGAGACAGCGTGAGCAGGGGAGGGTCAGAGAGAGAAGGAGTCACAGACTCAGAAACAGGCTCCAGGCTCTGAGCTGGCAGTCAGCACAGAGCCCGATGCGGGGCTCGAACCCACGAACCGCGAGATCATGACCTAAGCGAAAGTCGGACGCTTAACCGACTAAGCCACCCAGGCGCCCCATCTTCTTTCTTACACAAAATTAACATACTACACATTATGTCTTCAATATCATTTCACCACAGTATAAAGACTTTCCCATTCTATTTTATAGCTGTACAGTTACCTATTTTATGGTTTTATGATAGTTTTTTTTTCCCCTCACCAATGCCCTATTGGTGGTCATCTGAGCTGTTTTCAATCTTTTGCTTTTACAATTCATGCTTTCCTAAATAGCCATGTGCATTTGTTGTTTCGTATTTTGTTTTTGTTTTTTTTTCTTTTTCACATGCTAGGCTGGAAAAATGCAAGAGGAAAAACTGCAACATATGGTTCACACACTCACTGTTTAAACTCATGTTCTAGGCTGATAGGAACACATGGCTGGTTTAGGAGCCACTATATATTCAACTAGACCATCTAAAAATTTTTGGGATTTTATTTATTTAAAAATTTTTTTCATAGTTTATTTATTTTTGAGAAAGAGAGAGATTGAGCATGAATGACGGAGGGGCAGAGAGAGACACACACAGAATCCGAAACAGGCTCTAGGCTCTAGGCTCTGAGCTGTCAGCACAGAGCCCAATGTGGGGCTCTAACCCACGAACAGTGAGATCATGACCTGAGCTGAAGTCGGACGTTTAATCGACTGAGCTACCCAGGCATCCCTAAATTTTGGGATTTTAGACTTTATGGACAATAACCAGATTTACATTCTAAGAAAGAACTGTAATAAGTGGTGTGGCAATATGGTAGCTGTTTGGGGCACCTGAGTGGCTCAGTAGGTTAAGTGTCTGACTTCAGCTCAGGTCATGATCTCACGGTTAGCGGTCTCGAGCCCTGCCTCAGGCTCTGTACTGACAGCTAGCTCAGAACCTGGAGCTTTTCTTCGGATTCTAGGTATCTTTTTCTTTCTGACCCTCCCCTGCTCACGCTGTCTCTCTCTCTCTCTCAAAAATAAATAAAACATTAAAAAAAATAAGGTAGTTGTTTGCTCCAAAGGACTTTTTACATCCCAGCAGAGTTAAGCTTAAAAGGCTAAGTGTTTTATAGAGTATGAAAAGAAATTGGTTTTAATAATTTCATTAAAAATTAATGACTTATGAAAAATCTGTGTTTCAACTTTTGGCCAATCACAAATTATAATTTTTTAAATGTTTCTTTTTGAGAGAGCGCATGTGAGTGGGGGAGGGGCAGACAGAGAGGGAGACACAGAATCCCAAGCAGGCTTAGGCTCTAAGCCAGCAGCACAGAGCCCAATATGGGGTTTGAACACATGAACCACAAGATCATGACCTGAGCCAAAGTTGGATGCTTAACTGACTGAGCCACCCAGGCACCCCCACAAATTATTACATAGTCTTATGCAAGCTCCAGTTTATTTACGAGAAAGATACGCTTCTGGAGATATGTCCCCAACAGCTGTAACCAATCCTTTCTCATGTGAAAAATAATGCATGGAGCGTTTGTAAGTAATAGCCACCAGAGCCTATACTCCAATTTTTGAAAGAATATATTTTACAACATAAAAGCAAGCACTGTCAGAGTGTCATTGATGAGCAAATAGTTCCACATGCTTTAGAATAAAAGCTCCTGTGGATTTTAATTATCCAATGTACTAATTGAGCATAAAAAATGAGAGAAGATTCTTTGCCCAGCTAATTTATTAATGTGAACAAATCTCATACTAGGGGATGATGTTTTTATTAGTTACATGTATAATAGTATTAATGTGGCAGAGAAAAGTCATAATGGATACCATTCCATGTGATCCAACTTTAATTTGTCAATATGAAAATATATCTGCTTGTGTAAGTCTTAATTAGTCTATTATTTCACCATAATTAATTCCCAACCAAAAGACAGTATTTCTGACTTTAGGATGATGTCTCACATATATCAACTATTTGAAGTCTTGAATTTGAATTTTTTTTTCTCTAATATATTCTCTTATTTGGATTTACAAAGCACATCATTAGTGTTAAAAGTCAGAGGTGAGCTCACAAATAGTACTTGAGGTGCAAAGCTTTATAGTGTTGGCAGCTTTAAATATGGACAAACAGCCAGCTCCTAATACAAATAAAAGTGTTATCTTAGAAGCTGGCCAAAGGGCCAGTATGTTTAACAAAACACCACTGGAGAAATTAGAAAGGAAAGAAGGAAAAAGATTAGAGAAAACTAGAACACTGTCTTTGTGTTTCTTTAAAGATCACTCCAGGCCTAACAAACTGACAGGGGAGATAAAGGAAAGCTAGTTTGCCTCACTTACAGTATGAAAATAAACCAACATAGCTTGTACCTTTCAACGTGGGAACCATTTTACCAGTGACACTTAAAGAGTATGATGTTTAAAGAGTAAGAGAGAGATTTAAATTAAACTTTGAAAAATTTATGGGAGATTTACATTTTCCATCTCATAAATAGCTCAGCTTCATGCTGTCTGAAAACAGGCATCAAATGGCTTTGTATTCAAAATTTAAATATCAATGTCATACAAATATATGTCTTCAATATGATTCTGTCATTTTGGGAAATGGAATAAAACACATCAATAATATACAGTAAATTGTTTTAAATTCAGGTTAAGTTTTACGTATCAATTTGTCATTTAAAATTTCTTTACCAATTTTGAGTGGGAAAAATGTGAGTTCAAACTACTTATCATTCATATGCTTGGCATGAATGCCTACCATACAAAGAATCTTGTATTTACCAGCCATGAGGTAAAATAAAGACAAGGGACACTTGAGTGAAAGAATCAAAATTATAGGATGTTTTTAAATATCAACATGGCAAACACAAAGGAAACATATATTAGCCATTGATCCTATCTGATAAACTCGTTATTGGTAAATAAAATGACTTCCATAGGTAGTTTATAAAATTTCAGTGGAAGGGATACATATTGTAGTAAAATAAAAAATAATGAAGTCAGAAATCTAAGTCACCACAGACTAAAAAAATCAATACTAACTAATACTAATGGGAGAATCATTTTGTTCCCTGTGGGATAAAAAAACCTCAAAGTCAAACATTTTATTAGTTACTGTTGATGTTGCGTTATACAAATTAGGCTCACCTACCACTTCAAGTTATACTTGACAGTTTCACATGACACAACTTCTACGAATTTTCTTTAAAAATATCAAGTGATACACAAAGTTAAGATTAAGGTTTGTTAGTAAAGATGATAAGGTCCCATATAAACCTTTTATTTGAAAAGACAAAAGTTTAATCTATATACCATTTGTAGATTACACAAGCAGCTCTCTAAACTGGCAGCAATGCAAGGCTGAGAACGGCAGATGGCGCTATTACCCAAGAGGTAATCATGGGATAACCGCCAATGTTGAGTTTCATGAAAGGTATCTTACACAAGAAAAGCTCATCTTCAATTGACTCCTTTTGAATATTAATATTTTATGAATTTCCCCAAAGTTAAAATGCACTTTATATTACAAAGAGTTTGGGTCAGTTGGCCTCAGAGTTACTGAGGTACTCTATGCTACTCTTCCAGTAAAAAAATATTTATATACTAATAGTATTGCTATAAATACATGAATAATACAAACAAATTTTTTATTTTCAGTTTAAATTGACTCAAACTTTAGTCAAGAATGGAAATATTCATGAAATTCCTCTTTATGGTAAAATACAGATACTGAAAGTAAAACAGTGTGAAATGTAAAGCATTTTCAAGTTCCATTACAATTAAAAAAAAAAGCAAACAACAAATTGGCCAATAAACAAAGATAGTTATTCAACAGACTATAAACAAACAAAGCTTACTAGGAAAAAGCCACAAAGGTTACTTGAAATTCTAAACTTATTATTACAACAGTTTCTCACGAACACAAATATTAATAAAACATAGCATTGCTTTCCCTTCAAAACAGTATATTTTAAATACGTTTCTTTCCTAAAGCATGCAAAGCATATATTAGTAATCCATTCATCCTCGAAATTTTAAGGGTGTTCGTAAGACCCAGGTCCCTGGGCACAAATTCCCAGAACTGATATCCACAAATAACTTAAAAGATGAGAAAACTTAAGTAGAATGTGGCTGGTCTATTAGTCTTCTGGAAGCTGATAATACAGTATGAGGTTATATATGTCAGTGGGGCTCCTGAAGGCTTCTAATAACAACCCTTCTTGGATAAGGTCCAAAGACAGACTAATCTTATATTAAACTACTTTCTGTATCAAATTAAGTAATAGGAATAACTTTAATGTGACTGTACCAGTGAAGAGTTTCTGATAAACATTTTAATAAGTGGGTATCAAGCTAGGTTTTATTAAAAACAAAATACACAGTGAATACTTAATTTAGCTCCTCTCACCTAGAATGCTCTTACCTTTTCTTAATCTTCCTTATTACCTTCTCTTGCTACCTGTGAGAAAAGGGCCTCTTCCATAATTCATTTGGCTCTTAGCATATGTTGCCTTGCACTGATATTAATCTCTTCATTAGTGAAAACTTCATTTCCCCAGCTAGAGGACACATAACTTTTTCTGTCAACCCCAGGATTTAGTGTAGTATGCTCTATTATTTAGTAAGCCATCAATAGACTTTTGTTGAAAAACTAAACATTAAAGGGCATTAAGGTACCTATTAAAAAAAAAACTTCTTGCAGGAAGATGGGGAATGACAAATTAAAAGAAGTTTTTGTAACTTAAAACATGAGGTGTCCTTAAGTGGCTAGTTTAGTAGCTCTGGATTCAGACTATCTGGATTACACCTGGTCTCTGCTACTAACTAGTTGTGTGACCTTGGGCAAGGGGTTCAAGCTGTAATGGTCTCAGTTTTCTCCTCTATGTCATGGGAATAACAACCTAAACATCACAGAATGGCTGAGAGGCTGACTTTCTTCTTCCCTCCTCTCCTTTCCTCCTTTCAAATATTTGAGCACATTCAATGTACCAGGCATTGTTCCACATTCAAGGGTTTATAAACAAGTTTCTTTCCTTATGAGGCTTATATTTTCATGGGAGAGACAAATAATAAACATGTAAATAAACAATATAATGTCAAGAAAAATAGAGCAGGGTAGAGGGCTGGAAAGGAGAATGGGAGCTATTTCATGGGATGATCAGGGAAACCTCTCTGACATGGGGAATACAGCAGACAGAAGAATCATGTGAAGGATCAAGTCAAGAAAATTTAGATGACACATGTGCTAGTACAAGGTAAGGAAGCACTAAAAGCACTTAAATGATAGACGTCATAAATGACAGACTTAGTACTAGAGTGTTAATTTAGTAATAGTAGTAGTAAAGACGTGGAAGTTGGCTAACAAGTTTGTATATAACCTTCTCAATTTCTGGCTATATGGTTTAAGGCTGGCAACCCTTTTTGAATTCAGCCACATAGTGCCTAGCTTTAGCTCACACTTTTTGGGGCATCATCTGTGGTGTGCCAGGGCTGTGGGAATGACAGGAAGAGAGGACAGGTCTATGCACGTCTTTGAAAAGGTACAAAAGGCCCAGCTGAGTTTTATCACCCCGCAGGATACTGGACTCCACCCTGGCTCAGTGAGTGCTGCAGGCTGAGTGGGGGAAGCAGTGTTTCCTGGCCTCCCAGCCTCCAGTGACTCAAGAGAAGGGAGATCCTGCCATTCCCTAATGGGTGTCTAGTAACAAAAACTCCCCAAAATAGTAGTTGTGTGGTTTATCGAGTTATAAAGCAAACGTATTTAAGTTTAGTGTCTGTAAATCTACAGACACTTTGTTTTGATCATCAATATCTGGAATGGCCTTGTGAGGAAGGTCACAAAGGCTAATTTTTCATTTAAATGGTTGTTGAAAGGGCCAGAGGAGCTGTTCTGTTGGGAGAAGTAGTAATCACTGCAGTAACAGAAGCTTACATTTATGGCACCCTGAGCAAAGCACTTCACCTGGATGACCTCATTTAACTATCATAACTATGAGAGACAGTACTGTTATTTTCATTGTACACTTGAGAAACTAAGGCTAAATAACTTGATCAAGGTCACACAACTAGCTGGTGGTAGAAATGGGATGCAGTTCCTGAACTGTGATCTAGTCATTAATTCCTAGTCAAATAAATTCTTTACCCACACCTGCCCAATAACAGATAATCTTTTTCCTCCTTCCCATCCATTTATTAGGAATAATAAATGTTCTTGGTATTGTTCTTATTCTGCATTTTAATGCTTATTCATTCAATACAATGTGGTTTTTTTGTTTTGTTTTGTTTTTGTACAGAAGATGCTGTAAATATTATCTTGGTCTGCTGGCATTATCTTGAGCTAGATTACAAACAATATTTTCAGAAGCTTACACATTTGAAAATGTTTTTAAAGAATTATAAATGTCATATCCTGAAAACTTTTATTAATGAATTAAAAAAATGTAAAGTTAGAAAACCTGGCTATTCTTTCATTTAAGCCTGAAAACAACCCGAGCAACAAATTACCATTTTAGAGCTGTTCTTTATTT